TTCAGGGGGTGTTCCACTACTAGTCTACAGCCGAAAAATTGCTAGTAATTCAGACCTAAGTCGCGAAAGAGCTTTGGCATCAGTCAAACATTTTACTGGCCATGCATGGTTTTTTCAAGTTTGACAATTTAAAATAAGAGTAAATGATTTTATATTGGTAGAACTACGGAACTGCAACAAGACCTATTTGTTCATAGATTTGTCTCAAAGTATCGCTTGATAAAGTAGAGTAAAGTTTACGATTCTACATGCTCATGTCGGGACGCAGCTAAGCTCCGCCTGCTGCTCTACCGTGAGCTGGCCGAGAAGGTCAGATAGGAACCAGTGACCCCCGACGACCGTGCACCGTAAGGCTGCTTCTGCAGTCTCTCCCCCCTTTCCCCCTTATTGTAATATAACATGTAGATAATAAATATATATAATACCTTCCTGTACCGCTACACTCATCAAGCTAGGGCCCGTACTCCCCTAGGCTTGACATGGAGGTCCCAGGGAAGATTTTTTTAAAGAATTCTAGAATTTTTTTCTCACCTTCACTTTTGATATGGGTTTCAAAAAAAATTTACACGCCCCCCCCCTCCCCCTTCTACAATTCGATCGATCGCTATGGACGTCACCAACGAACAATTGTGTGTGAGTGTTTTTTTTTATTTTTTTTGCGCAAAATATATTAGCCGTGTGAGTGATATATTTAACCTCTGTATGAGTCAAATATTTAACCATTTCAGAAAGAAAAGAAAACATATTAAACAAAATAAAATAAAAATTATTTAAACAGTCCTGCGAACAGTCCCATTTTTGTCAATTCTTTCTTTCGTAAAGCGCCCGCATTTCCCGTGATCCGTGATCCGTGAATCCGTGAAACCGTGATTCCGTGAATTTTCGTTAACTAATTCTTATTTTTCTTCTTTTTTTTTTGTAATTAGACAATGGACTTGTTCGCAATCGCTAGCTCAAATAAAAACTGCAGTTTTAGACCCAGAAAGATAAATCTGCTGGCCCACTGCAGATAACTTCTGCTGGGAAGTGTCGACCAATCGTAATGCTTCGACCTCTCAGGAAATATAGCGAAACCCAGTGCTTCTGTTCGCGCGCGGTGACCTCCTTCTGGCAATAAAGCAACGCAGCTGCCCTCGTATGTTGTAAGCATGTGACCCCGCGCCAGATTATTGATATCTGCGCGTTATGACCTTACAGCCGCGATTAGTGCAATACTCGCGTCTGCTCGTGTCGCGATAAACCTTAGAACAGGATTAATAATTGCGTAATCTTTGACGATTGAGACGCGCGACTAACAACAACAGTTGCATAATATGACCCGCAAGCGTCTGTCTTACGCAACTTATATTGTCGTAATTTTACTTTCTGTTGTCGACAACAAGACATGACTTGGCCGCCTATTTTTTCGGTAGATCCAACTCATCAATCAGAAAGCATATTAACACCGCTTCAACTTGAAGAATATGTACCACCAGAAGTAGATATCAGTCAAACAATGCCGTCTTTTCCATCTGAAAAAGTACGCAACATTGAAGAACTAGTTCATTTTGACAAATCTATACTTTCTGAACAAGAACAATTGCAGTTTTTCCAACTTTTGAAAAACTTTCGCTCTTGTTTTGTCACCCAAGATGGCGATTTAGGATTAAATAGAGGTCCTATAACACATCGCATAAATTTCGTTCCACATGCTAAAACTCCAAAAGAGAGACCCTATTGTGTCCCGTTGGAAAAGCGCAACGAAATAAAACGTCAGATTGAAGAAGTGTTGCGCACTCGCATTATCAAACCAAGCACTAGCAAATTTGCTTCGCCAATAGTTCTTGTAAAGAAAGGATCTAATAAAAATCAATGGCGATTTACCGTTGACTACCGCCAAATCAATGCCATTACTGAAACAGAGACCTATTGCATACCACATATGCAAGACATTTTGGATCTTGCTAGCGGAAAAGAAATTTACAGTGTTCTTGATTTTAAAAGTGGTTTTTTTCCAAATACCGCTAGAGAAAAAACATAAGGAACGTACTGCATTTTTCTCATTCATAGGTCTCTACCAATTTACCGTTATGGCTCAAGGATTAAAAGGCGCTCCAGGAACCTTCCAACGAGTAGCAAATTCTCTGATTAGAGAATTGCGTGCTTGTTGTTTTGCATACATTGACGATATAATCATCGCCAGTTCCAACGTACCTGAACATTTTCGTGATTTGGAGGAAGTCTTTACTCGCATACAAAACTTTGGCATGAAGTTAACCCCCGAAAAGTGCTCATTTTTCCAATCTGAAGTTCAATACTTGGGTGTACTCATCAGCAAAAATGGTACACGTCTAAACCCAAAGAAAGTCGACAGCATAAGTAAAATTTCGCGCCCTACAGATAACAATAGTACTCAAATCATTCTTAGTGCAGGATCGTACTTTTGAAGATTTACCGCGTTTTGCTACAATTTCCCATCCATTGAACAAACTCCGCATAAACAATGCAGCTTTTCTTTGGAGCAAGGAGTAAGAAATAGCATTCCAAGCATTAAAACATGCCCTAGTGGATGCGCTTGTTTTAGTGCTTCCTATTCTAGGAAAACCCCATATCATCCACACCGATGCATCAACCATCGGTCTCGGCGCGTGCTTCCTACAGTCAATCCGGGGACTAGTAGTGAACATTTATCGCACAATGCAGCCGCCGTTTAACAAGACACGAGAGGAACTGGCAACTATTACATTAGATTCGCTATACGTTGCTTTTACGGTAGTTCCGTGTTGATAACTGACCATACAGCGCAAAGAAAAAAAATCTCCCATGCGTAGGTTAGATCTCGTGCATCGCCGTGCTAAGCAAAAGCAAATACTTATTAGTCTCTTTTTAGTCAGGCATGTCGATTCTGATGTCCTCCGCTATGAGGAACACTCAGCATGCCTCAAAAGTTAGATGACAATTATGCTGCTGTTTAAGGCGAGAAAAAAAAATTACAGTAGTATGTCCACCGAATCTGAAGTTGTCAAACAAACGCGCTTCCATATTGCACTCAAGAAATTTGTTTTAAAGCACGAAAATATAATGAAAGTTTCTTTCATCAACTGCTGAGCATAGCATATAGCTATTGAAAAAAATGATTTTTGGAAAAAAAGGAACAACTACCGCTTTGCATTTATTGACCACAAATCCAAGATTTGCAAGTCAGGTCGATATTCGCAAGATGCGTAATTTCTAGACCCAACTTATAACTCACATTTTTTGACAAAGCTAATTTTTAGGAAAAAAAAATTAAGCGAAATTGCTTTGACTGTATTTTTCAATATGTCCTCCGAATATCTCTTGAGCAGTGTTAAAAAAAATTTTTTTTATTGCAAAGAAAAAAAATCCCTAACTAATTTTTGGTTGTCTGAGATTATAATTTTGCTGAAGAAAAAGCTATATGTTGGTAATCCCTAGGGATACAACTACATAGGCTCATTCGAGGTAAATAATGTCCGTTGTGGAGACAGTCACAGCATTATCATATTTGCTATAACAATCTTTCCAAAACTTTGAAAATAAAATTACGATACAGCTAATTTCACAAAAAAAATTCCTGAAATTTAGCTTTTATTCCACAAGTGAGGAAGAAAAAAATTTTCTGACTATTTAACCTTCAGGAAGTAATTCTTTCAACGTTTTGTAAGTGTTAATTCATTCATGTGGCTTGCTCCTACTAGGTCTACTCGGAAAACCTTCCAAACCTTCTTTTAGTAAATACTCTTCGACATGTATACTATAGACAAGCAGTTGCAGATTTTTTTTTAAAAATTTTTACGAGTAATGAAAAAAACCGAAATATCCTTCATTTAAAATTCAAAATATATCTCAAGAATGCTATATTTGTAGAGCCAAGCATCTGAAATACGCAACTATACAACTCTGCTCGCATAATTCAGCTCAGAATTACCACTTTCACTCAGTTTTTGAAAATTCAAAAAACTCAAATTTTGCACGACTAACGAAATTTCACCAATTGACCGATTCTGGTATTTCCCTCACGAAGTTTTCATAATGCAGTGCCAATGTCTAACAAAACATTTTCCACTTCAATCACCTCACAAAAAGAAAAGAGAGGAGCACCAGAATTTTGCTTTAGCACGCATAGTTGCGTACTATCTCCAAAACAAAAAAAAGCTCAATTTCGCGAATCTTGTTAGTCTCAGTTAAGTTGATCTTACCACTTCAGAAAATCTCCTCATTATTCATACATATTTTCGGAAACATGTGCTTTCTTCTTTATCTAGATTTGAGGAAAAGTTTCATTCAGTCATCATACTTGTATTAAACATGGAATTGAGATTCAGAGAAAATTCTCGCTGACAATGAGATAGATTTTTCTGCTTGAGTTGAAAACTCTTCAGAGCTTCTGGAAACAATTGGACCTCTCATCCATAATTTCCAATGGTCCTATTGCTAGGAGTTTCTTCTCATTATTGAACAGAATCTTGTCCGTATCAGAGCTTGCTTATGTCAAATGAATTTTTTGCTATAAGAAAAACACCACTTGAACTAAATCAAACCGCTTTCCACATTTGAGATACTCTAGCAAAATGCGTCTTAGTATCAATTTTACACTGTTCAAACGTATTTGAAATTTCTTCTGAAAAAAAAAACCGTCAGCATATTGTAGAATTTTACCTCAGAAGCCCAAAAGAAAAAAAATCAACAGAAGCGCTTATTCGGCCTTCATTATGATTACACATCCACTTTCGAAATAGCATTCTCTCAGCTCTTACAATCAGTTCAACAGACCTAGGAAAACATGAAATAAGTTGTTGCATTTCAAAAAAAGAAAGATTTTTTTCCCATATTTTTCTTCAAAATTTTACCAATTACATAAATGATCTTGATCGAAAAAACCTCGCCAGTTATGTATCAAATATCGCACGCAGTTTTTGAAAGTGCGAATCTTGAATCTCAACTTGAAATCAAAATTTTTTCTAGGGGCTACAAGTCAAATTTTTCATAACGTACAGGATCTATTCATGCGTCAAAGCATCCTCGAATTCGGTTTGCTTGCCAGCGCTTTTATAATTCTGAAAAATACATTTTTATGAGATGAAAGGCTTTATTTTTTCAAAAGGATAATACACTGAATTCAGTTTTTTTACATTTCCCAAGTATCACGAAATACTTTTTTTTGAAGGATGATTTGACAATTGAAACCATTGCTAAATATTTGTTCGTTCTGGAAAAAAAACCACGGTTGATTTCACTTGATACAAAATCAAAATTTTTTTCTGTTCGAATGAAAAAAAAGAACTAACAGTTCTGTAGATTCAAGGCTTTCATAACGCAATCAGTCTCATGATCGAGCTAAATTCGCAAATGAAAAGAACCAGTTTGGAATGCAAAATCGCATATTTTTTCTGCAATTCAAAGCTTAGATGATTCAATGAAAAAGTCTTGCTAGAAAAAAAAACGACATGTATCAGAGTAACTTGTTTTCAAAGCTCTCACCCTCAAATTTTTAACCAAATTCTGTTCCACATACCGAACAATGCTACCTTTCTATACGATATGATAGATTCGCAATATTTCTTTACAGATTAAAAGACTACTTGAGCTTTTCGCTAAACTAGAGCCAGCATAAAAAAAATGAAATAGCTAATGAAACTATCGCACTCACTGAATTTACCGACAGAAATCAAAGCTCGGCCAAGCTTTCCTTCTAAACGTCTAAATTCTACACGAAGCATACAAGTTTTTGTTAGAACAAATAAACAGAAGTGCACAACCTAATATATCTAGAATTCTGATTCTCACGCACCGAGGCAATGGAAAAAAAGAGATATTCAGACGTGAATATTCTTCTTTTTCAAAATTTTCGAATTTTCTCAATTTAAGAGTTGAGATAAATCTTCCTCAGTGTGATTGAAGTTTGTCCTCAATAACTTTTTCCGTACATCATGAGGTACTCGTTCAGATATTAGATGAGACCTCTTCATGTTCTCTGAGGTTTTACCAAAATATGCGCAAAAGTATTCAAATTCAAAAAGAGTGGACACACTATTGGTAAGAACATTGGAATATAGCAGTTCCTCCAGTTTTGTGCAATTGCACAAACCAAGTCTGCATTACGTTGTTGAACGTAGCATTTCAGAACTACATTTAAGAATATTTTCAGAGAATATTACTTGTAGCTGAATGGAGATTGTTTTCAGAGAACAATTCTCTCTTTTAACCGAAACTCTTTACAAAAAAAAACTTGCTGTTTGTCAAAAAAAATCCTCAGTGCTTCTAAACATGTTGAGATATCCAGATGGATATTCTGATTGAAAGCAATGATCGCATTTTTTTTTTTGAAAGATGATCAGCAGAAGCCACAATAAGCAATGAAGACATAGTTTTTTTGTCGCACCGAAATTCATTCTTGGGAATGAAAAAAAACATGTTTCGAACGTTTCACGTCACCCAGTCTTGTTTTTTCCTAGAAAACGATGGTAATGATTCCTTTACAGATTTCAGCAGAATTCAGGAACATTATTCCATAGAGTTTTCTATACTGGATCTGGACTTGAAGAAACATAGATAGCTTTCATAAATTACAAAATTAGTCGTGAATTACCGCACATGATGTTAGGATCATTTCCGCTAAACTTTACTTATGACTCAAAAGTTACATATCGAAGTTTCTGCAGTGAAAACGTTCTGTTCGTATAATTTACTATGCCAAAATGTACTGTTAATTCATTTTGTATAACATGGTTTGCATTTTCATATTGTCTATGTCGAAAATGGGCTAATGCTTCCAAAAACCACTTTTTTTTCAAAAAAAAAAACAATTAAAAAAAAGGAAACATCAGAACATGAACGACATCACGTTTGTTTTGTTCACGAATGTAGTCTTGAATTTGGTCGCAAGACTGCAAGGCAATTTTCAAATGCAAAACTCAGTTTGGAAAAAATCCGACTATCAGAGTTTTATTTTTTTCTGCTGCCGGGATATTTCTCAATGTGAGTTTGCTTACACTTACTTTGCCGCACCGCTGCGATTATCTATAAGCACAAATTTCTTTGAAACGGCAGTTCAAAGAATGGAAAAAATATTTTGTTCTAGGCAGCGAAAAAAAATTCCCATTTCTCTAACACTCAAAATTTGCCACTATGTTGAATTAAACACAGTTTGTTGTGCTCAATTCTGCATCTAAATCTTCCTTTCCGTTTTCTAATCAATTGCATTATTTATATGATGTATAACCACTCAGTTTATGACTCAGTTTAAATTATGCAATGCCTTATTATACCTTATTATATCACACGTCCTAAAATTCCGTATGTAGCTTGACTATTTTATGTAAAATACTTCAGAATCACTAATGTCATCCAATATCGCCCAATACTTTGTTAGCTATGTAATTTCTCCTCACAACACTATCTTTTTTTCATTATCATGTTCTACAACAAGTGCCCTTCAACCCATAACTTCATCGTATCGACATTCAAAAACCGGTCACATTATACTCCTATAAATCTCCACGCCAACTTTCCCATTTGTCAATTTCCGGCTACAATACGCCTGTTCACTTCCTACAACTACATGTTACTGCCTCACCCAAGCAGTCCCCTACGTCACACCGTTCATTCCGTATATCTCTCCGCTTGAGGACAAGCTCACTCTGTACCCCTAGGATGAGGTGAAGGTCGCTGTTTGGTTATCCAATTCGCCTAAACCAACTCCTCCACTCAATCAGTCTGAAGATAATGGTACCTCTCCATGGTCTCGCCGTAACACGTGTACTCCCTACACACGTAACTCGGAAGACGTTCAACAACAGCCGAACAAGCTCGAGGACGAGCTTTCTGAAGGAATGGAGATGTCGGGACGCAGCTAAGCTCCGCCTGCTGCTCTACCGTGAGCTGGCCGAGAAGGTCAGATAGGAACCAGTGACCCCCGACGACCGTGCACCGTAAGGCTGCTTCTGCAGTCTCTCCCCCCTTTCCCCCTTATTGTAATATAACATGTAGATAATAAATATATATAATACCTTCCTGTACCGCTACACTCATCAAGCTAGGGCCCGTACACCCCTAGGCTTGACACTCATACATTTCCATCACTTTTTTACGAAGAGTCTGAATACCAAGAAAAAAGATCCAAATGCCCAAAACACTCGTGTAAAAATTCTAAGGCTCTCTGCATGCTTCCACATACTGCCCATACTAAATATTCGCAATTACAGTTGCTGTGCTAGGATCTCTCCTGTTAAGATTCAAAAAGCGAAAGTACTCAGGCATTTGAATTGGAAATGCTGAGCTGCTTTGACACTAATGGTTGTGTACTACGAGCCTTTGAAAGACAAATGTAAATTCTTAGCCTTCTACAGAGGTCAGTTTTCGAGAAATATTGAATTTGCCATAAGAAACTTTGGTCAAGTGGAGCAAGCTTCAACCTTCCTCGTAAACTAGTATTTGTGATAGATTAAAATTTGCGTTATTTCAAGGCTTGTATTAACAAACAACAGTAAAGGGAGCAGTTCAGCATTGCTTTTGGCGAAAGCAAAAAATCGTTTTATTGATAGCTAAGGTGCACGGGGGGGGGGGGAGGGTGCTGTTATGGATAAAAATTCAGGAAGGAAGAAACAAAATAGCTATTGCACATATAAAAAGTAACATATGAAATGCATATACGAGAGCGAGTGAATGATTCCTAGTGAATTTTTGGACAACATTTCGAATTTTTCCAGATTTGCATATCCTTTTATTATCGGCTTCAATTTGCATGGAAGTAATTGTTCGAAAATCTCTTTGTTTAATTTGCTCTATCTAATGGCCCCCAGCTTTATCACGTAGGAGAAAGATCACTTATTTTTTATTTTGACCTGCTGGCGCAAGACTCATTTCACAAAGTATAGATCTTTGCACCGCAAAAAAAAGTTTAATTTACCTTACTTTTACCTCACTTTTTTTGCGCCGTCTTACCTGGAGAAAGGAAGTGTAGCTTTTGGTTTCCGACTAATCTTTGAAGACACCTGGCACTGAACAATTTGCCCGTGACATTCTTGCAAGCGACAAAGTAATATACCCAGCCAACCTAATAATGAGCTTCTGTCTCTTTGGTTTTCGTACTTATATATTAGAAATGAAATGCCCCTTTATTCACAGCTATCTTTAATCAGATCTTGCTTGCTTGTGCCCGGAAATGTCGTGAAGTCAATTACTTTCAACTTTAAAACATTTATCTCGAAAAAATATTTACACATCATTTACACATACTTATGAAAAAACATGTACACCTAAATCATTTATACATACCTAAATTATTATCCTATTTCTCATTTTATTACATAGCGTGTCCCAAAATCGAGAAGCTTCAGGTGCTGTTCTGTAGAACTGGCTTGTACTTAGATTTACAGCATAAAGTAAATCAATCGCTCTTCATCACTGTAGGATTACGGTAGACAAATCCGACATATGGCGTCACCGTGAAAAACTGCCGTTTCAAACAATTTAAAAACACAATTAAAAAACTTGTGCGACAGAGTTTTCAGACGCTGATTCAAATACTTGACTTTGCACGAGACTGTGAAGTTTTCTAGACGGTGTAAACACATTTTTATGAACATCGAAATAACGGCTACCGTTACTAACCTGGCGTAACTTTCAAAAAAGCGTTATGGTGAGATGAGACTTTACAGTTAAAATCAACACTAATTAGCCTAATGTAAGAATTTTCAGGTAGAGGTAGCTTTATTTTCTTTTTGGGGCAGCATGGCCCTCCAGCACTCAAAACTCTTTTCAAAGGCTATCGTAGTTCTACAGTGAAAAAGGCCGATCGATAATTCGCTCTATGCTGTAAATCTAGAAGCCTACTTCACAAAAAAGTACCTAAGGCTTGAAAGACTTCATAACAAGAGAGGTATTAACAATTCAAGAGTAGGCACATTTGGGATACCCTGGGTACACGTAAGATGTGCTCGAAAAAAGGAAGACACAAAGCACAAGTCAACATCATCTTTTACCATCACTCATCAAGCAGTAGAGATAATAAATCCGACCATAGTGAAACCAGCTGTACCACGGGTACACTCTGCAGACAATGTGCGGAAATCTTACGAGCATCTGCAAAATCTATATAAGTTTCGATCAGAAAAACTTTTTAAAGTAATGATAGTTGGGTAGTGGTAAGCGTTAGAGTTGTTATTCTTTAATGAGAATGTCGAACGTCATGAAACGACTAATCAAGTTTTCACAATGGCAGCATTGCACTTTCGAAGATTAACTCTCTGCCAATTTTTTCAATTAAATGATCGGTAAGGTATTTAATTTCTGGCACTGCGCACATCTAGTAATGTTGCGTGACTCACACAACATATCTGGAGCTTGATTTTTGAGTTTTCAGGTTAGCAGGTGTTTCTTCAAATTTGTTCTGCTGTAGTAAAAAAATCTAGTCGCAATTTTTGTTTATTTTTATTTTTCAAACAGAATAAATTGCAAAAACTGCACATGTACTTGCAGTGGAGAGCATAGGGTGTGCAATTTGGATTTCCGTGTGATTGATCCGAAAGCAAATCTGATATGAGACATTTTAATGTCATTGTCAGCTTTGAAATTCACGTTTGCGGATTTTAAACAAGCTCTTGTAAGGCTTGCTTTTTTCTCTGAATAGTATTCCAAACTATGAAATAATAGATAGGTCATAATTTTCTGCGAAACAGAAAAATTTTGGGATGACTAAAAAACCGCGCATATATACGTCATGCTCTCGCTTACTTGCTAGCTGAGAGAGAACAATATATTGTGCTATCATGTCACTTGCAACTTACCGCATCACAGAAGGCCAGCCCGCGTTGAAGGCGAAACTCCTTTGCAGCTAGTTTGGAATCTTGTTCGTATCCGGGGAGCCTGAAATTCAACCATTCCTTAGCATTGATGAGGAACGCTGAGAGCAATTTTCACTTACCATGGTATCCAATAGATAGGGTCATGATTGATTGGATCATAGTTATAGTAATAATTCAATATAGCCCAGTCAAGATAGCAATGCAAGCTTTTATTGTAGGTCTGAATAGAAGATTTCTTGTCGTGCAGTGATTGGAATGATATCTTAACGTTGCGAACAAGACAGTTTTCCTTCACTCATATCAGCCTGGTATCAATTTGTCAAGGTCACTAACTTAAACACTCAGTTGCGTAATCTCCCAATATTCAAAGCTATAGTTAAGTTCTTACCACAGGAATTTCGATGTAATCCCAGTTGCTGCATACATCTTTAAGTGCTATCGCGATATCATGATCAAAGAGGTCCTCGTCAGAAAGATTTCTTTTATGTTTCGTATATCCCTGACAACTCCGATTGTATGTTTTTTCAGAGACAGCATGAGTTGACGAAATCTAAAAATGGCAATCATCAGCACTACATCTCAAAAAACGCAACTTACCATGAGTAAACATAAAAACAACATTTTGAATGTTAATCTCATCTAATCAGACAATACTTTATACTGAAAGAATTTCGCAAGCAGATCATTGTTAAATATAACAAAAAAGTGCTGGCACTCTTTTATTGTCATTGAATAGGTTTCTGACGGGTGGAGTGCGTCATCTGGCACAAGCTTTGTCACGAGAGCCTCAATGACATGAGAATCGTCAAATTGTTCATGCTCGTCACCATCCGGTTTCGATTTTTAGCGCTTAGTTTATGTGTTTTCCACCCATACTTTTTTTGAATCGCAGTTACGGATATTGCGGATATAACAATTAGATTTTCTAACGTCTGTGTCAATCACATACTCCCTTTTCCGTCTGCCAATCGCTACGCCATAGCTCTGCGTCACGTTCGCGCGCATATGACTTGGAAATTCAAATTTGCTTCAACGAATGCAGGTCCGCAGGCAGGCCGCTAACGTTGCTGAAGCACAGCGCCTACAATAAAGTGAGTACGTAATTGACACAGATCATTGTTACAATTTCATTTTGATCGCCCCCGCATTTACGCAGTGTTTTTCATCAAGAGAGCAGTAATTGTTATCCTTGCCAAAGGATGAGCTTGAAATAGGCATAGTACCATGTGTCTAAATGACTGTTTAATTTCGTTAATTTTATAGTAATTTATGAAAACATGATAACTCAAAACTTTTCGGACATACTAGTTTATATGATCTTAATTGTCTTGTAAGTAGCAAATACACCGATTGATCCACTTTCGACGAAAAAAAAGCATTTACTCAAACTACCAAGGAGTGTCGGTAACAAACCAGTTTTTTCTTGAAATTTGGAAAAATTTCAATGAAAACAAAAAATAAAAATTTCGATCTGAAATTATTGTTCAAAGCTCAAAATGCTACTAGACTTTAAAATTATGTTCTAATAATAATTTACTCAACTCTGCAAATTTTGTAATGCTTAAAATCTCTGAAGGGATCTAATAAATGCATCCGCCATTATATCAATCTGTAACCTTTTTATTAGATTGTTGCAAAAAATAATGTCCGTTTTGCAAATTTTCATTTTGGGAGGCTATAACTTGGTTATTTTCAAAATTTTTTAAAAATCCAAATTAGCCTAAAAAATTTTTTTGGGGGCAGATTTTAGGGGTTGGAAACCCGCAAAAATTTTGAGAAGCACTCCTAAAATTTTTTCGGAGTGGGTAGCTAACGCCACGCACCTTCATTTAAAAAAATTTGTCCCCCCCCCTCCGAGCGGAAATCCTGGGTACGCCAATGAAAGGCATAGAAATCTTATTCACTAGTCTCACTTTTTGATTACAACATTCATTAACTGACTCTTTTTGAGTTTTGAAAGATGACCTCAGTAGGTTTGATTAGTGCGTTGTAAATGACATAAATTTGAGCTCGTGTTTGGCAGTGATTTTTTCGTCGTAGCAGAGCAAATGTGGTGCTATTTATATTGGCGCACATTGTAGTATGAGATTTGCTCTATTTGCATCACATTTTTTCCCTATCGCAGCTCTAGAATTTTTAAAAGTTAGCAGAAGTTTGAGCACTTTAAAATAAGGATTGAAAATTTTCGGCAGTTTTCAAGAACCGTTCAGAAATTTTTTTTTCAATAACGTTATCATTAAAGAGAAAGAAAGAAGAATAAGCTGCATTCAAATGCATGTTCAAACGCAGTGAGGTCTTTTTACGAGGGACTAATTGTTCAATATAATAGTTTCTGAAAAAAAGGGGGGCCCGGGAGAATCTTATATTTAGGCTGGAAAGATAAAGGTGTCGGTTTATAGGCTAAATTTGTAATCTTTCAAGAAAAGCACATGGGAGATCAAATTTTTCACCTTTGAAGCCGAAAGCCAAGAGTCAGTGGTGTACGCAGGATTTCGGCTCGGGGGGGGGGGGCGACAAAAAAATTTTCTGATGAAGGTGCGTGGCTAAAATTTTTTTTAAATCTAGAAAATTTTTTTGGCACCCTTCTCAAAATTTTCGCGGGTTTATAACCCCAAAATTTTGAAAAAAGGGAACGTGGCTGACGCCACGCCCCGAAAATAAGTTTTTATAAGGCTAAATCGAGCTTTCAAAAATTTTTAAAAATTGTTTTAATTATTTACAAGTATAAACAAGTCGCTTGCACGTATTTATAACCCATGTAAGTAAATTTCAAAATTTTCGCGACCCAGTCTCGGGGAGGGCCTCGGTACGCCACTGCCAAGAGTTAATCCAAAAATCGATTTTTTGAACCTGGCCGGGGTCCACACTATACATGTAGTTACGTACCTTCTAAATTCTTCTAATACCTTGTACCGTTGAATTTTGGCTTCACATGTGGTTTTTTCGAAAAAATTACAAATTCAGCTTAGAAACCCTAAACGACATCAGTTTCTTCTCACCTAAATATATTATCCCGAAAGTTCTGTTTTAAGAAGTTTTTAAGGTTTTCAAACGACTACAAAAACTCGTAATAAAGATAAGACTTGAATTTGCCAATGGCTTTTGTCCTGACTTAACTCCTATCACTTTATACAGCAGCAGAGTCAGCATGGTTTGGTTGTCAATTGAAGACAATGGAAACTCATTGTTTTTAGAGTAATGCGCAGATCAGAATTAAGACAGGATTTTCGCATAGCCAGGGGGCATATGTGACCCATTCAAGGATTTACCGTGTAGAAGAAAGAATACCCTTTTAAGATGCCTTTCCTTCGACAACCTAAAGTCTGCTTTTTTCTCTGGGTATGCCTGGCTGTCACGAATTTCGTAGTGCAATCTTCAGTCAAGTTTTTAGGCATAGTTTTCGCATGGTACACGAATAGCCACAAAAAGAATGAGTTGCTTGAACTGCTGATTCAGCAAGGTTATACCTGTAAGATTGAAAGAATCCCAGTCGTTCCGCTCAGTCGTCGAGTTTTTGCTGCATGAAATCTTCGACCCATAGGCCATACCCATTCAAGGAGGTGCGCTTAAATTTAAAGATGATATGAGTGGTCAAAGCAACAGAAGCTGCTTTCTAGTTTTTCTACTGAAATTATTTAGAACTTCTCTCTCTGCGGCAATTGTTCACGTACAGATGCTGCCGCTTCTGCAGGAGCACTATATATACCGTGGAATCTACCTAACTGTATATCCATGCACGTATATTTTCAAATTAGGAGAGACTTGCGCGCCTGTAAGTTTAAGTTTGAGACAAACGTAAATTCCACTGAGGGTAAAATATTAGGTCTGTCCAAAAGTTCTGTCCGTTTTTTGACCTATCATATAAACGAAGAAAATCGCAAGCAAACGGATGATATTGTTCGACGCAGCTTTTCTTCTCTTTCAAGCAGTCATGTTCTTGTGCTAGGTACTCTTGTGGTTACTGAAATAATCGCTGAAATTTCGAACTCATGGTTTTTACCATCTCCAGCTTCAGCAATTTTTCAAAATTTTCGTTTTAAACTTTTGGAGAAGCTTTGACAGCAGTCAAATAGAATAGACAAAGCATTTTTCGACACCTATAGCTGGCTATTTCTACAATTATATTCTTGATACTATCAAATTCCACTTTGGTCATCCTAAAACTCAAGAACCTCAAGTGGAGCACAGCTAAGATGTCATTCGATGCAGCTTTTTCTCTTTTTTTTTGAAAGATGTTTCCAATTTATATAAAGTCTTTGACAATAAAATTATCATAATTCTTGATTTTGAAGCCTTGGCAATATCCTTAAAAAGCGAAATTTGATATTTCGGAGCAGCAAGAGCTCGATTCAGTTTTTTTGGCATGTTCAGTGTACAGGGTGCGGCAAAAGTCTGGGAGCCTAACTTTGCAGTATTGCATTTACAAAGATACTGGTAGTTTTGATTTCAACTTTATGCCACATGATGCTGCGGTCATCCTCTACGGAATACACTTTATTTGGCTGGAAATGGCTGCCATATGTTTTTGTAAGAATGGAAATGAGCAAACTAGTACTTTTGCAAAGCGAAAAAACCAGAATTTTTGGTATTTACAATTTTTGCTGTAACTAGAGATGCTGTTAATATTTTACAAAACTTCGATGCACACAACATGGAAGAGGCTTTGCGCTACTGTATCCTAGTTTTGCTCTTGCCAGGAGCTGTTCTTGCATGAACGGAAAATAAAAGTTTGCGAATATTACCTACGTGCCAGTGGAAATCCGTCTTCAGAACAATTTTAAAAACTATAGAATGCTCAACAGGCACTGGGACCAAGGCTGTATTTTTTGCATACATTTTAATTAAAATCTATTGAAATTCGGCCATGGAAACACTTTTTCTACCTTTTAAGCGATAATTTTGAGTTTTTATTCGCGCAATTATAGCCAAAATTCCGGTATGCGACGTACACATGCTTTCAATTGAAAATCCAATATTTTTATTCCTAAGCAATGCAAAAAATTCTTTTGGAAGCATGTTGTAGATAAAAGCTTGCTCTATCGTGCTGCACATTTGCCAAGGTAAAAGAAGCAGTTATTGTGAAGGCGTGGGGCGAATTCCATTACGACTACCTGCGTGCCATGACAGATGGACTTGCCAAGATTTTGTAGGGCTGCGTGGAAGCCAAAAGAGGCAGTTTTGCAATTCAAGAACTGGGCTGTATCTGCAATATCTGCAATATCTGCAATGCCAAATTTTTCGTTTCTAGGTACTTTCCTTCTTGTTTTGTACGAAAAAGTACTAGGCTCCCAGACTTTTGCTACACCCTGTATAATCATACTTTATTCTGAAAGTTCCAAATTCCAAAGCTTTGTTAGTATTTAGAGGGATTGTGTGTTTAAAAAAATGCAAAAATGAAGACTTGGAAAATTGTTTAGAAAAATACTGAAAAGGCAATTGGAAGCGCCAAAAAATTGCATTGCATTGCACTTTGTCCACGCTATCTAACTGCTATCGAAGCTTTGGCGAAAATGTGAAAGATTTCAAAAAATTCAAAAAGTTGGACATTGTAAAATCATAGGTTAAAAATCTTAGCGATAATTTCACGACAACAAGGGTAA